CAACATAAGGAAGAAGATGGGAATAAATGTTTGTATTCTGTTTGCAATTAATTATGTAAAACTATGGATGGAGGCTTTTAGTTTGCATCCATTTATTAATACCTGTGATTAAGGAATTAATAGGATGGTTTGTATGGTAAATAATAAAGTTCAATGCTGTGTTTACACAATTCTGTTTTCTGGTATAGATTTTGGATGTAGCCTCATAATTTAATAGGTATGTCCCATGGCTCTTTGATTCTTTAAATATATATATTGTAATCCCAGTAGAATCTGAAGTGAAGATTGATTGTGATCCCAGCTGGCAGCCATTTCAGTCTAACTGCTATCGTTTGATCAGTGAAAAGAAAAGTTGGATAGATGCCAAAAAGACCTGCTTGCGCAGTGAAGGGGATCTAGTGAGCATCCATACCCTCTCTGAACTGGAGTTTGTTACCAAGCAAATCAAGCAAGGTAAGGGATAATTGATTCTGTCATGCCCTCTGGACCCTTACACCTGGGGGTATACTCAGAGTTTTGAATGAATGTACTCAAGCAGCAGCTGTAGAGTGGGTGATATTGCTCATTTATAAAATGACTGTCATGGTGGCTGTGGCCAAAGGAAAAAAAACAGGAGAACTAGGAAATTGATGATCACACAGTATGTGTCTTTGGTGGCAAAGTGGTACCCATATACATTACCCCAGAATGTGGGGTGTATAATATTCATATTACAAAATGGATAGACAAATTTTATGGTAGCTTTTCACAGAAAGTAAAGTCTGAATCAGATGTAGATACTTAACCAGTTAGCTTGCTCTGTGGCCATTGACTTTAAAATCGTGGCATCTCCTTCAAGTTGGACTTTAGTGACTTAACATATATAATTTTCTTCACAATGATATGGAAATTGTTTGCCATTGCCTTCCATTATGTTTTTAAAATTTCCAGGCTAGCCTAGATCTGATATTTCCTCATGGTTTCATGTCCAAATGGTAACCAGGTTTGACCCTATTTAGCATTTTAAGAACAGCCAAGTTTGACTAATAGGATAATACCAATTTTCAAACTGAATTGAGCTAAAAGGAGATGGATCCTTCTTGTTCCCAGCAAACTTGGTCCTTTAGAATGTTGATTGGCTGGCACTTACAACAATCAAAATGATTACCCCCCACCTTCATTCAGTTGTGTGAAGTGTTGATTGGTGATCCTTGGACCAGTCATGATGCTATTCCCCCCTCAAGGATTAAACCCACCTTCATTCAGTTGTGTGAAGTGTTGATTGGTGATCCTTGGACCAATCATGATGCTATTCCCCCCTCAAGGATTAAATAGGTTTTTCTAAAAATCTAAGTTGATTTTTTAAGGCACTGAATGAATTTTTAGATGGATCAGTATGTTGAGTGTTTGTGGAAAATCTTAAAGAGAATATGGCATAGAGAGGGCAAAGGCTATGTTGAAATTGA